TCCACTCACCTCAGCCTCCCAAAGGCGTGGGATTACAGGCTGAGCCACCGAGCCCAGTTAGAGGGGGAATTTTAAGAAAATGCAGCAAGGGCAGAATAGAAGATATGGAGATGATTTTTCTTTTTCTTTCTTTTTTCTTGTTTGTAGTATTCCGTTGTGCCATTCGACTTACCATTCCTTTGCATTAAAAAAACAAAAACAAACAAAAAACTTACGAACAGTTAGGACATATTTGTGGGTTTTTTTTTTTTTTTTTGAGTCAAAGTCTCACTGTATCACACAGGCTGGAGAGCAATGGCATGCTGACAGCCACCGCAGCCGCAACCTGTTGGGCTCAGACAATCCTTCTACCTCAACCTTTCAAGTGGCTGAAGCCACAGGCATGTACCACCGCACTTGGCTAATTTTTTGATTTATTGTAGAGATGAGGTCTTACCAAGTTGGCCAGGCTGGTCTCGAACACCTGGGCTCAGGCAATCCTCTCGCCCTCAGCCTCCCAAAGTGCTGGATTATAGGCATGAGCCAACATGCCTGGCTTATTTGTGGTTTTTTTCCCCCTCATATTTTGTATAAAAATTGTCAAACATACAGGAAAGTTCAGATATTACTTACTAAACTCCTAGATGCTGCAGTTGTTTTTTAAGTGTTCTCAAGTTTGTTTATTCTTATGTGTATTTATTTTTGTTTTTTTGAGTTGGAGTCTCATTTTGTATCCCAGACTAGAGGGCAGTGGCACACTCATAACCACTGCAGCCTCGACCTGCTGGGCTTAGACGATCCTTCTGCCTTAGCCTTCCAAGTAGCTGTAACTACAGGCACAAGTCACCATGCTTGGCTAATTTTTTTATTTATTACAGAGATGAATTCTCGCCAAGTTGCCCAGGCTGGTCTCAAATCCATGGGCTCAGGCAGTCTTCTCACTTCAGCCTCCCAAAGTGCTGGGATTATAGGCATGAGCCACCATGCCTGGCTATGTGTTTATTTAATAAATATTTATTGAGTGCCTACTCTGTGCTAGATACTAGACAGGGTGCTGGGAATGCAAAGATAAACAAGACTTGACCACCATGTTGACTTAAGAACCTTGTAGTGTAGTACAGGGAGAAAGACTAGTACCAATCAATACAGATGTGATAATTCTAAGAAAGAGATCATAAGAGGGTGCCATGAAAGCTCATAAGAGGGGTGTCTCACCCAGAATGGGGCTGGATCTAGGACATGCTCCCAGAGAGCAAAGGGTTTCCTGAGCTCAGTGTTTTGTTTTAGTTTTTTTTTTTTTTTTTTTTTTTTTGAGTCGGGGTCTCACTCTGTCTCTCAGGCTGGAGTGTGGTAGTATGATCATGGCTCACCACAGCCTGCAACTTCTGGGCCCAGGTGATCCTTCCACCTCAGCCTTCCGAGTAGCTGGGTTTACAGGTAGGTGCCATCATGCCCAGCTAATTTTTTTTTTTAATAGAGATAAAAAAAACAAATAAAAAGAACAGCTCGGGCTGTTCTTGAACTCCTGGGCTCAAGCATTTCTGCCACATTGGCCTACCAAAGTGCTGGAATTACAGATGTGAGCTACCATGCCCAGCCTTGAGCTGAATTTAAGGGACACATAGAAGTTAGCCAGAAGGAGAATGTGGGGGTTGACTTGTGTGTGAGGAACTTGCATCTCTTCAAAGTGGGTGTGAGGAAGGTGTAGGGAATGGTGAGCTGCAGAGGCTACAGGACCAGGTGGGGGCCCTGCTAAGGGACTTTTAGCTTTTATCTTGTGGGCAGTTGGGAGCCTTTGAAGAATTAAGTAGGGGAGCAATATGATTAGGAAGATGACTCTGGTGATAGAATAGAGAATGGATTGTAGAAAAGCAGGTCTGAAGGCAGAAGGACCAAGGAAGAACCTCATGCAGTTAATCAAGTAAGATATTCAGATGCTGAGAAGACAGATTTGAAAAAGAATGAAGTAGGCCAGGCACAGTGGCTCAAGCCTGTAATCCCAGCACTTTGGGAGGCTGAGGCAAGAGGATTGCCTGAGTTCGGGGGTTCAAGACTAGCCTGGGCAACTTGGAGAGATCTCAGCTCTACAGTAAATCAGTAATAATAATAAGCTGGACGTGATAGCGTGCACCTGTAGTTCCAGCTACTTGGAAGGCTGAGATGGAAGGATCACCTGAGCTCAGTACGTCAAGGCTGCAGTGGCTGTGAATGGGCCACAGAGTGAGACTCCGACTCACAAAGAAAAATAATGAAGAAGAATGAGTGAGTTGTGGTGACCTCCTGGCCATTGAAAGAGGTAGGAGTCAGAGAAGATGTCTGGGTTTCTGGCTAGGGCAGCTGCCGATGGATGATGGTATTGTTCACTGGATGGAGACTGCAAAAGCAGGAACTTCCTGGCCAAGCAAGATAATGAATTCAACATTGGACTTATTGAATGTTGATTTCAAAGTGCTTTTTGGGTCTCCTGGCACTGGGTGAACTCCAACAAGAAGCTAGAGGGTAAGGGAACCCACAGATGCAATCCATTCAGGTTCTTCCTGCACCTTCCAGGGCAGGGAAGGATAGAATGAAATTGAAAGAACAAACAGATCATATCTAGCAGATTATTAAATATTAGAAAGAGGACACACAAAATAAGTGAAACACTTTAATAGCAAAAAGATTGTTGGTCATTTTGCAAAGGATAGTGTTATTCGAGTCAGATTCTTTTTTCTTCTTCTTTTTATTTTTTTTTTGAGTTGGAGTCTCACTCTGTCGCCCAGACTGGAGTGCAGTGGCCGCTCCTGGCCACTGCAGCCTCGACCTGCTAGGCTCCGGCGATCCTTCCACCTCAGTCTTCCGAGTAGCTGGAACTACAGGCGTGCACTACCACACCCGGCCAATTTTTGACTTATTGTAGAGATGAGGTCTCGCCAAGTTGCCCAGGCGGGTCTCGAACCCGCGGGCTCAGGCAATCCACTCACCTCAGCCTCCCAAAGGCGCAGGATTACAGGCTGAGCCACCGAGCCTGGCTTCTTTCTTATTATTTAGGTATTATTTTTGAGGGTCTGTACTCTACCTATCACTTTGATAGACAAGAAGCGTAGGCCTTGTTCTTGGAGAGTTTTGTGAGGGTTATATACGTAATAGTTAAATAGTTCTAAAGTGATTGCCTCTGAGGAGGGGATTTGGGTGGCTGGAGGACAGGGAAGAGAAAGATTTTTTTCACTGAATTCTTCTTTGTTCCTTTGGCATTTGTATCATGTGACTATATTATCTACTCAAATATAGAAATTGAAGGTTTAAAACGTTTTTTATTTTAGAGTCAGGGTTACATGTGAAGATTTGTTACACAGGTATATTGTGTAAAGCAGGGTTTGGGCGTCTAATAAGCCCACCCCCATGCCCATGGTGAGCATGGTACCCTATGGGTGGTTTTGCATCCCTTATTCCCCCTTCCTTAGCAGTAGTGCCCAGTGTCTCTTGTTCCCATCCTTGTACCTGTGGGTGTCCAGTGTTTAATAACCACTGATGAGTGAGAATATGCAGTATTCAGTTTTCTTTTTTTTTTTTTTGAGTTGGAGTCTCACTCTGCTGCCCAGACTGGAGTACAGTGGCCGCTCCCAGTCACCACAGCCTTGACCTGCTGGGCTCCGGCGATCCTTCCGCCTCAGCCTTCCAAGTAGCCCGGAATTACAGGCATGCACTACCACGCCTGGCTGATTTTTTGATTTATTGTAGAGATAAGGTCTCTCTGCCCAGGCGGGTCTCGAACCCGCGGGCTCAGGCAATCCACTCACCTCAGCCTCCCAAAGGCACGGAATTACAGGCTGAACCACCAAGCCCGGCTGTATTCAGTTTTCTGTTTCTGTGATAATTAACATAGAATGATTAGAATGATGACCTCTAGTTGCATCCATGTTGCTCTGATGATGTTGTCCTTTTTTTATTTTTTATTTTTGAGTTGGTGTCTCACTCTTGTTGCCCAGGCTGGAGTGCAGTGGCGCGCACATGGCCACCGCAGCTTCAGCCTGCTGGGCTTAGGTGATCCTTCCACCTCAGGTTTCCAAGTAGATGGAACTACAGATGCACACTACCATGCCTGGCTAATTTTTGTCATTTATTGTAGAGACGAGGTCTCACCCCAGGCTGGTCTTGAACCCCCGCTCCAGGCTCAGGCAATACTCTCACCTCAGCCTCCCAAAGTGCTGGAATGACAGGCTGAGCCACTGTGCCTGGCTCAAGTACCAAAAGGAGCAGTCTAGACCAGAAGTAGTGGTGAACTGTGGACCTATGGTCTAAATCTGGCTCTCAGATGGGTTTTATTTCACCCACAAGGGGCCTCACGTTTGTTTTTAATGGAATGACTAACAAATCATAAAGATGATTTTAATAAAGTCCATGAAGACTCAGAGGTGACTGAGGCTTTGCAGTTTGGTGCCTGGGAGGAGAACTTATATGAAGGGACAATCAGGAAGCCTTGTTTAAGGCCAGCTGGGTTTGAGTGAATGATGTGGGACATGAGAATGGAAGTGACCAGCAGGCAGCTTGGTGTCAGGATGAGGTGCAGGTGAGCATTCAGGTGGGACATACAGATTTGGGGGTTATCAGCATCTGGGATGAAGTAAACATACAGCAGGATAGGAATTTAGACCATATGAATGCTGCAGACTTCTTCCCCTGCTCGGGCCTTTTCTCTGTGAATGGACACGGTCTTTGAGGAAGAAAAAGGAAAGAGCAGAAGGGTAAGGACAGCCTTGAGGAGAACAAAACAGCGATGAGAAAATTAGAGGAACTTGTGAAGGAGAAAGGGAAGTACTAGACAAAGAGGTAGGAGAGAGCTGGCAGGTTAGCAGTTCTGTGACTTCCTCTTCTATATTGCCTGTCTAAGGCCAGAAGAGTTTCATTTTTAAGTACAAAGAGAGATTATCCATTTCCCCATTTTAACCCTCTTGGCCCTTCAGTGTTTTTTTGCTGTTTTTCAGTTGGAGTCTTACTCTGTCACCCAGGCTGGGGTGCAGTGGCACACTCATGACCACCGCAGTCTTGACCTGCTAGGCTCAGGCCTTAGCCTTCCAGGTAGCTGGAACTACAGGCTCATGCCTTGATGCCCAGCTAATTTTTTTGATTTATTGGAGAGAGGAGGTCTCACCCAAGTTGCCCAGGCTGGTCTCGAACCCTGGGCTCAGGCAGTCCTCTTGCCTCAGCTTCTCAAGTGCTGAGATTATAAGCGTGAGCCACCGCACCTGGCTGCCCTTCAGTGTTTATCTGATGGCCAGCTTTTTGTCTCATCCTGCCACCCCACAGATGTCCAGACCAAGATAGAACCCGTTTCTCCATCTTCCTCCATCAACTCTGAGGCCTCCCTGCTCTCAGCGGACTCCTCCAACCAGGTGAACATCAACTTCCCTTCCTCTCTCTATGTGCTCCAGTGAGTTCTTCCTGATTCAAAGGTCTGAGCACTTTTCTCTTCTTCAGCCCTTCTTCTCGACATTCCTCCTGGCTAACATATCTCTGGAATGTTCCACATAGGCTTTTATAGGGGAGGAAGTACTGGAAGTGAAGACAGAGTCCCCATCCCCTCCAGGGTGCCTCCTTTGGGATGTCCCAGCCTCCTCACTTGGAGCTGTCCAGATCAGCATGGGTCCATCCCCTGATGGCTCCTCAGGTAATGGGGCTTCTGATGCTTGGGGATCCGTGGTAAGAGGTTTGTGGTCCTATGTTCCTTCCTTCCTTCCTCTCACCTTACTTCAGGCAAAGCCCTGTCCACCCGGAAACCACCACTGCAGCCCAAACCTGTGGTGCTAACCACTGTTCCGATGCCCCCAAGAGCTGTGCCTCCCAGCACCACCGTCCTTCTGCAGCCCCTTGTCCAGCCACCTCCAGGTATTAAAGAAAGAGAAAAGGAAGTGGGCTGTGTTGATCTTGTTAGGGAGCTCACAGCCGTTGAGGCTCCCTGCCCTTGGGTGCTCGGGTGTGGGTGTAGACTACAAGGACCTCGCCCGACATAGCTCTCCGACCTCCTTCTGCTCACTTGCCCTAGTGTCCCCAGTTGTCCTCATCCAGGGTGCTATTCGAGTCCAGCCTGAAGGGCCAGCTGCCCCTGTTCCACGACCTGAGAGGAAAAGCATTGTTCCTGCTCCTACACCTGGGAACTCCTGCCCACCTGAAGTGGATGTAAGTACTGGGGAGGAGAGGAGTGGGGGTAGTGGTGGGAAGGGAAGAGGAAAGTCTGTCATGAAGATCATCCTAGACGGCCCGGCTCCATGGCTCAGCCTGTAATCCCAGCACTTTGGAAGACCGAGGCGAGTGGATTGCCTGAGCCCACAGGTTCGAGACCTACCCGGGCAACTTGGCAAGACCTTGTCTCTACAATAAATCAAAAAATTGACTGGGCGTGGTAGCATGTGCCTGTAGTTCTGGCTACTTGGAAGGCTGAGGTGGAAGGATCACCAGAGCCCAGCAGGTCAAGGCTGCGGTGGCCTGGAGCGTGCCACCACACTCCAGTCTGGGGCGACAGAGTGAGACTCCAGCTCAAAAAAAAAAAAAAGATCATCCTAGGGTTCAGAGTGGACTCCTGTTTTCATGAGTCTATATGAGTTTATATATGAGGGTCCTTAGGTTTGCTCTCACAGCAAATGGATACATGGGAGTAGTCTCAGTAAATCAAAGGCAGGGAGTTTATACTGTGTTATAGTTGTGGTAGTAGTTGAGGAAGGGAGACTGCTTCTTAGGAGAAAATCAGGTAAACAGTTCTTTAAATATAGCAAGGTTAGGCTTTGGGACCTGAAAAGGAGGATTGAAAAGAAGGAATACTGCCAGGTGCAGTGGCTCACACATGTAATCCCAGCACTTTGGGAGGATGAGGTGAGAGGATTGCCTGAGCTCATGGGTTCGAGACTAGCCTGGGCAGCTTGGTGAGACCTTATCTCTACAATAAAAATTTAAAAATTAGCCAGGCATTGTGGCACGTGCCTATAGTTCCAGCTACTTGGAAGGCTGAGGTGGAAGCATCGCCTGAGCCCAGTAGGTCGCGGCTGCGGTCGTGAACGTGCCACTGCCCTCCAGCCTGGGTGACAGAAGACTCCAAATCAAAAAAAAAAAAAAAAAAGAAGGAAGACTAGCTAAGGATGGAGCAAGTGTCTCCTGCAGTGTAACTTTTCCCACCTTTGAGGAACAGTAGTAGGGAATGGTTGAGAGAAGGGCCCCTTTCCTGAATGTTTTAGTAGAGAGGAAAAACTCCTTTCTGGCATAGTGGGTAGAGGTCAGGAAGGCAGGGGAATGACCCATGTTAGCTTTGGGTGCTCAAGCCCTGGGGACTGGTGGAGGCACGGGCCACCTTTCCAACTCATCTTTCATGTCTTTTTGACCTTCTGGGGACCTAGGCAAAGCTACTGAAGCGGCAGCAGCGAATGATTAAGAACCGGGAGTCGGCCTGCCAGTCCCGGAGAAAAAAGAAAGAGTATCTGCAGGGACTGGAAGCTCGGCTGCAGGCGGTTCTGGCTGACAACCAGCAGCTCCGGCGGGAGAATGCTGCCCTCCGGCGGCGGCTGGAGGCCCTGCTGACTGAGGTAAGACTGGTCTGTTCTTGGGAGGCTGGCAGGAATATAGCTTCCTTGGGATGACTCCCTCTCTTGTATCTCCCTGTGCACCTTAGAACAGCGAGCTCAAGTTAGGGTCTGGAAACAGGAAGGTGGTCTGCATCATGGTCTTCCTTCTCTTCATTGCCTTCAACTTTGGACCTGTCAGGTGAGACCCTCCTTGCTTCCCTAGAGCCCTCTAGGCAGAGCTGATCCTTACAACCTCCTGATTGCCTGTTTTTGGCCCAGTCCATCTCCTTCCACTTATACACAAACAGTTCTGGTGTTCTTGGCACCGATGGTGTGTCTAGCCAGCCCCTTCTTGCTCCATCGTTTTTCTTTTTTTTTTTGAGTTGGAGTCTCACTCTGTCACCCAGACTGGAGTGCAGTGGCCGCTCTCGGCCACTGCAGCCTCAACCTGCTGGGCTCCGGCGATCCTTTCGCCTCAGCCTTCCAGTAGCTGGAACTACAAGTGCACGCTACCACGCCCGGCTAATTTTTTGATTTATTGTAGAGATGAGGTCTCACCAAGTTGCCTAGGTGGGTCTCGAACCCGCGGGCTCAGGCAATCCACTCATCTCAGCCTCCCAAAGCACTGGGATTACAGGCTGAGCCACTGAGCCCAGCTTCCATCATTTTTCTAATAGGTGGTACATTGTAGGGTAGATGATGGTGATAATGTTGATAAAAATAGTGACTATTAAGTGCTTACCTCGACTCTAGGTGAAGTGCTGTCCTTTTCGTATGTAGGAACCATTCTCATTCCATCTTACAGATGAAGAGACTCAGTCTTGGATAATAGATTGGAACTCAGGCAGTTCATCTGCAGAGTTTTTACTCTTAGCTAGATACTTGATAGAGCTAGAATTCTTCATCATGCTCTATTCATCCTTATCCACAGCATCAGTGAGTCTCCTGCAGCTGCTGTCTCTCCTTGGATGAGCAGGGAGGAGCCTCGACCCCGGAGACACTTGCTGGAGTTCTCAGAGCAAGAGCCAGTTCATGGAGTTGAACCTCTCTTGGGGTCCTTCCAAAGCCAAGAGGAAGCCCAGTCTAACCTTGCAGATGGGCCCAGTTTCAGGTGAGGAGAGAGAGCACCCCCTTTCCTTTGGAGATATGAATGAATATTCTCCCTAAAATTACTTTTGGTTAGGGAGACCCAAAGCTGTTCTCTTACCATATTGCCCTCTTTGTTTATGTGGGACTCTGGGGAATCTCTGAACAGTGTCTCCTCCCTACCTCATTCCAGGAACCTGACCGCCTTCCCGGGGGGTGCCAAGGAGCTACTATTGAGAGACCTAGACCAGCTCTTCCTCTCCTCTGATTGCCGGCACTTCAACCGAACTGAGTCCCTGAGGTGTGGGGATTCACAGCTGGGGCATCCTTCCCTGTCCTCCCAAGACCCACTGTAGACAGCCTGGCTGGCCTGTGTACTGAAGCACCAGCTCTCCCTGCCCTTGCTTTTCACTCCTGTGGGTGGGCCAGGAAAGTGGGTATCTTGACCTGGTATGGAGGTGTTGAGCCTCCTCTACTTCCCCAGGCTTGCCGACGAGCTGAGTGGCTGGGTCCAGCGCCACCAGACAGGCCGGCGGAAGACCCCTCAGAAGGCCCAGGAGAGACAGGTAGGAGGGAGTGGAGCTGGTTCAAGGAAGGCCACTTGAGGATAAGGGCAAAATGTCCTGGGGATTTTAAGTGGGCATCTTGTTGTGGAAATTTGATGGATCATTTGGGAGAAGTGGAGGGGTAGGTGTGAGGTGGCATCAGCTTCCAGGGGCTGTCTGTCTCTTTCCCTTTTCCCTTCACTCTCTCCAAATCCTTAGATACTTCTCCTTCCAGAAGTCTCAGCTACGGAAGAAGTCAGCTCCAGTTAAGGCAGTCCCCACCCAACCCCCTGGGTCCCCAGAAAGGTGAGTATGGGAGAGTGCTTATGTATTATTATTATTTTTTTAATTTTTGAGTAGGAATCTTACTCTGTTGCCCAGGCTGGAGTGCAGTGGCATGCTCATGGCCACCGCAGCCTCGACCTGCTGGGCTCAAGCGATCCTTCCACCTCAACCTTCCAAGTAGCTGAAACTACAGGCACGCACCACCATGTCCGGCTGATTTTTTAATTTATTGTAGAGATGAGGTCTCGCAAAGTTACCCAGGCTGGTCTCAAATCCCTGGGCTCAGGTAATCCTCTTGCCTCAGCCTCTCAGAGTGCTGGATTATAGGCATGAGCTACCATACTTGATATTAACTTTCAAAAACTATACCCCCAAGAGCAGTCTTGTGCTTGTCATCATTGTCACCAAGGGGATTATGCCTCCCTTATCTACTAGGGGTCTTTTTATCTCATCCTCTCCTCTTCCCCAGTACGAATTGGGCACTGGGCTTAATTCCCCCCAAATCCTGTTTCCCTACCTAACTAGGGATTCTGTGGGCCAGCTGCAGCTATATCGCCACCCAGACCGTTCACAGCCAGAGTTCTTGGATGCAATAGACCGACGGGAAGACACATTTTATGTTGTCTCCTTCCGAAGGGTGAGTTGCTCTTCCCTGCCCCATCACTCTCACCCTGAGTCTGTCTTCAGAGGGAGGGTATAGAGTAAGGTTGGGGAGTCTGTCAGCATCTTTGTCTTCATCTTCCTGGCCTGGCCCCCGATCCCTAGGACCACTTGCTGCTTCCAGCCATCAGCCACAACAAGACCTCTCGGCCCAAGATGTCCCTGGTGATGCCTGCCATGGCCCCCAATGGTAATTCTTTCCCTACTGGGTGTGGGGAAGAGTCCTGAAATGGAGGAAGGGGAAGTTCCAAAAGCAAGATTCAGCATGGGGTGCTGAGGAGAATGGGGAGAGGAGTGGGACATCCAGAGAGAGGCTAGGTTCACAGGTGAGAGCAAGCAGGACAAGGGTGGAGAGCAGAATGACCGACATGCAGGGGACTCTGATGGAAGGAAGACGGGGGTTTGGGTCCTCCTTGGGAAAGTGCTTGGGAGGGTGGCTGGGTAGAGGCGGGTGGGCTGGGTCCTTGGCAGACTCTCACTCCCTTTTTTCTCTTGATGTCTTCTCCTGTGTGACCCCATACTCATCAACATTATTTTCTTTTCCTACCCCTTCCCTTCTCCCTGTACCAAACTCCATTCTTGCCATTTAACTCCCACTGTGAATCTGCCTCCTCACTATTGCCCTTTCCTTCTCTCCCTGCTCATTTCTACTTTTCTAACCCCCCCCCCATACCCGCTTTGCCTCCCCCTTCTCCTCTTCCTTAACTCTCCCCTTTCACAGAGACTCTGTCAGGCCGGGGGCCCCCGGGGGACTATGAGGAGATGATGCAGATCGAGTGTGAGGTCATGGACACCAGGGTGATTCACATCAAGACTTCCACGGTGCCCCCTTCACTTCGAAAACAGCCGTCCCCGACCCCAGGCAATGCCACAGGTGGCCCCTTGCCAGCATCTGCAGCCAGCCCGGCCCACCAGGCCTCCCACCAGTCCCTCTACCTCAATCATCCCTGACTTGTGCCACTCACACTGACTTAGAACTGGGGGGAGGACACAGGGTGACCAAGTGGGCCTGTTCTGAACTTCCCTGATACCCGGGCTTGGGGCAACTGGTAAAGGAAAGACAGGGTGTGGGGCTTAAGCACTTATTTGAGGTGGGGGAGTTGATATTTCTCTTCTCACCCCTCTTCAGAATATAGTGTTCCTCTCATTCCTATGAACCCCCAGTCCCTGCTTCTTTCTTTAATGGTATTGAGTGAGGTTCAGTTTTGGGGTGGGTGGGCTCCTTCATACTCTTTATTCTTTTGTTTCTTTGTTTGATGGGTGGAGGTGGGAATTTAGTCCCCAGGTGGGACAAGGGAAGTTTTTACATTTTGCAGCTAGTTACTGGGAGCAAGGAGGGCGGTTTAGGGAGATCAGGTTTATGTGTGTGCATATCTTCTTTTTTATTATTAAATAAACAACTTGGAGGGAGTTGAAGGAATGATGGTTGCCTTCCTGGCTTGTGATGGGGAGTTTGGGGGAAAGTGGCTTTTCTAAGGCCAGTATCAAAAAATCAAGCACTGATGACAGCTGGCTCTGGGGTGGGGTGGGTGTGGGATCACAGACCTCATATCATCCCCTTGCCCCCACCCCTGCAGCACTGGGTATGTCTGTATCTAGCAGAGATGTCCCATGGCATGACAGACCAGAGGATACAGATCCCTGGAATGTGTCTGAGTAAACAGGAAGGACAAGGGGCCCCACGCCCTTCAAAATGAGCAGTCCCTGGGTCCCCTGCTCTCCAGCAGGTTCTCCCTCCCTCCTCTTGCTTTCCAGGATGAGCAACTCAGACAAACAACAGGGGCTAGAGCCAAAGGGCTCAGAGCCCAGGAAGGAGGGGCCATTGTGGAGACGGGGTGATAATTGGGAGGGAAGGGGGATATTGCAGAATATATCTTAGCCCTTAATTGGAGAAGACTGAGACTTGAGAGTCCAGATGAAAGAAAAAGACAAAGAGTGGGTCTAGCAGAAAAAACTTCATTCTAATTAGGAAGAAGGGGAGCGGGGCAAAGTGAGGGTTCGAGTCTCAGCCCGATCTGGAAGGATCCCCTTCCAGCTGCTCCTGTCCAGCAGCGCCTCAGTCCTGACCCTGCAGGAGTGTCCTGGGTCAGCTGGAGGGTGTGAGCTAGGCCTGGGCTCTGTGCCCAGATGACTGGACAGGGGCTGCCTGGGCTGTAAGCCCAGACCTGAAGGAGGGAGGAAGAACCTCACGTGTCCAGCCAGGCAACCCCCCCCAGCCCCCGCCCTTTACAGTGTTTGGGGTGAAAACAGACTGAGCAACTATGGCAACCTGGAACTGGGGCTCCCAGGAACTAGACCTTTCCTCCTCCAGAGGGCAGCCCTGGCTTCTCAGCCCTGCTTCCTATCCCAGGGTCCCTCGAGCCTTATCCAGCCCTACGCAGGGAGTGAGAATGTTGAGAACAAGGATTTTGGAAGCAGATCACCTGAACTGGGTTCACTGCCTTGCTTAATGAGAAGATATCCTTGAATATTCTGAGCCTTAGTTTCCTCATCTGTAAGATGGGATGTTTCTATCTACTTTGATTGGATTGATGAGAGGATGAAAGATGTTCTCAGTGCTGGTCAACAGTAGACACACCTTTTCTTCATCTCTTGCTCCTTTCTCTCCCCATTTACATTGCCCTTTTCTCTTCTGTTTCACTTTTATCCAATCTGGGCCCATCAGTACTTCATTGTCCCATTGCTCTTTTTCCTTCCTGACTCCAGGAAAGCACTTGAAGCGCTGGCGTTTCAGACTGGGGGCTCTGGGTGGAACATGCTGCATCTCTGCTGAGTGGCAAGGGATAGCTTGCACTTTGGTGGGCTTACGCATCAGACCTCTCCTGGCTGAGGAAGTGGAGCAGTGGGAGTGATGCAGTGGGTTTACCATGGGAGTTGAAGACAGGTCAAGGTCTGGGCTGCTGCCCTTCTGGTCCCTGTGGGTCTCCATTCCTCGGGCCACATCCCCATCCAAGGCCACCCTAAATGCCAGGCCACTGTCGTTCCTGCACCTCACCGGCCCCTTCCTGCCTGGGCCCTCTTTTTCTGTTCTGGCTTCCTTGTGCCACCACCTCTCTTCCTTTCCTTCTCAGGATTTCCACCTATTGTTCTCTCTCTTCCTGGCTTCATTGTTCCTGCCTTCCTTTTCTCTTTCCTCTAGAATTTTTTACTGCCTTTACTTACCCTCTACCTCACTATAAGTTCTCATGATCTCTTTTTGACCCTTTATTCACGGTTGATTTTTTTCTCACTTCTTTTGTGTCTTCTCCTCTGCATCCCCACCTTTTCTTGGTCTTTTCTCCTGCTGTTGCTGACCCTGTGCTTGTATCCCCCGTTTCATGCCACTCCCTCCTGTGTCTCATTCTACTCCTTTGTCCACATTCCTTGCTTCTTTCCATTACTTCCTCTCTTCTCCCCCGCTTTTAGTCCTCTTCTCCTCCTTCTTCCCCCACCCCTTTACCTCCCCACTCCAATTCTCTGTCCTCTTCCCAGCTGTGGGGGCCAGGACTGGGGAGCCTAATGTTTGCCTCATCGTTCTGCTATGGCTTCTGGATACAGCACATCTGGATTCCGGGGCCCAGATGTGTGGTTGCCACAGCAACCTGGGTCCCTCTGGTAAATACAGGCGCCCACCCGCCCCAGAGCAGAGAACAAAACAGTTGTGTGACTTTCTTTTGTCACGAGATAGAAATGTCCTTCCTCCTACTTTCTCCCCACACCCAAGTCTCTGGGCAAAGGAATTTTTAAGGGTCCAGACCTTCTTTCTGTGGCTTCCTTGCCTCCTGTCTAGCCCAGGCCTCTTAGTTCTTCCCATCTTTCATCTCAGGTTCTGTCTTTCCGTGTTCTCCATCCTTACCCCACCCCCAGTTCTCAATAATGGAATATTGACCACCCCCTTCCCCATCTGATGTAGTTTCTTCTACCTGAATCTACACAATAACTGCATGCAGAAAGAAGTGTTAAAAATTCAGGTCCACCTTTCCTTTTTTTTTTTGGAGTTGGAGTTGGAGTCTCGCTCTGTTGCCCAGGCTGGAGTGCAGTGGCACGCTCATGGCCACTGCAGCCTTGACCTGCTGGGCTCAGGCAATCCTTCCCCTCAGTCTTCCAAGTAGCTGGATCTGCAGGCGTGTGCTACCACACCTGGCTAATTTTTTGATTTACTGTAGAGATGAGGTCTCACCAATTTGCCCAGGCTGGTCTCGAACCTGTGGGCTCAGGCAATTCTCTCATCTCGGCCTCCCAAAGCGCTGGGATTATAGGCATGAGCCACTGAATCCAGTCCCAACCTTTCATTTTAAAAGTCCTTCAAGAAATCACTTCATTTGTTTCTGCCCCAAGTCTTCAATCTGTTCCTTTCCTAGAGCTGTGGTTGTGGGAGGAGAGCAAATACAGGCTCTGGAATCAAAACACCTGCAGGATACCCACCTTTACCACCATTAGCAAAGCCCCTTGGACAAGTCCCTTAATATCTATGACCCTCCATTTCCTCAGCCACAAAGTGGGCATAATGCCTGCACTGTGTAGGAAACTGCTCTGTAAACGGAAACCCAGCACAAATGTTTTCTATATTTCCCCTCTCTGGGACTGCTTCCTTGGACTGCAGCCTCTGGCTTCTCTTCCTTCCCCTCTCTTCATCCTTCAGGTCCCTGCCCTCAATTGCCCTTACTCTTCTTGTCTTGCTTTTCTTCCCTCATCTTTTTATTTCCTTTTCTATATATATATTTTTTTATCCCTTGTCCTCCTGAGGAGGGACGGAACTTAGAGAATCATTCAAGGATGAAGGCTCAGAGCTGAAGACTCCCGGACAGCTCATCCAGAGAACAGCCAGAGCATGTGGACAGTTCTTGGCAACACTGCGACCTTTGTACTCACTATTTTGCAACACCTTGGTGAAGCCAACCCCAGCACTGATTTCTGAGACCCCCAACAGTGGACTTCCTAAACATCCAGGATCATCCTTCTGACTTTTCTCTCTAGGGTCCCCTGGCCGCTCTCTGGGCCATTAGACTTATGGTGACCGTATTTCCTAAATAATAAAACCAAGTCATAAGGCACAGGGAAAGAAAATCGGTATGACCACGGAAAATCCACTGTATGCAGTCTATTCTCTTGTGTAATGCTGTTTCCAGACCCTTCCTTACTCTTTTTTTTTTTTTTTTTGAGTCGGAGTCTCACTGTCGCCCAGACTGGAGTGTAGTGGCCGCTCCCGGCCACCGCAGCCTCGACCTGCTGGGCTCCGGCGATCCTTCCGCCTCAGCCTTCCGAGTAGCCAGAACTACAGGCGCACGCTACCACACCCAGCTAATTTTTTGATTTATTGAGGTCTTGCCAAGTTGCCCGGGTAGGTCTCGAACCCGCGGGCTCATGCAATCCACTCACCTCAGTCTCCCAAAGTGCTGGGATTACAGGCTGAGCCACTGAGCCCGGCTCCTTCCTTACTCTTCCATCTACTGTGCCCCCTACCCCTGCCAGGAGACCTGAGGGAAACTGCTACCTACTCCTGGTTCTTGGGGCTTCAGGCCAAGACAGAGGAAGGAAGCTGAGCCCAGCTCTGTCCAAGATGCTGACCTCATCCTCCCCATCAAAGCCAGGAAAAAAATAGCCACATACACCCAGACACACGGGCACACATGGGGATACCCACGCGAGAGCCCATGTGTGCCTTTGCCCTCGGCCACATGGAGCTAACTGGGCATCTGGTCACAGCAACATGCTGTGCAGGCACGCCCTGACCCAGGAATACCCACACACCTGGGACCCTGGGGATCTGATCTGGCATGCAGACACCTCAAGCCAGTGCCTCAGGCCGTGTGGCAGACTCAGGCACATGCAAGCTCTTTCATGCCCCTTTCACTATCACCTGTGACTTGGCCAAGCTACACCTCAATGGTAAGGTTTGTAGCGGGATAGAGAGAACTCTGTCCTCAGTGTGGAGCCAGGGGAGCGCTCCCCCTCAGCTTGGATATTTCTCCTCTGGCTAAGTCTCTTCTTCAGCCCCTCTCAGGGCAGCACAGGAAAAAATGAGGCCAGAGAAACACCTAACAGGCTTGTGTGGCATGTGCCACCCTATCCTCTGGTTGTCAGTCTTCTGTCTCTGTCTGGGACCAGAGGCAGAGTGCCCCTTTCCTCCAGCCCCGATCTCTCTCCAGCTCCTGCTACAGCTCCCCTGCAGCTCCCAGGAGCCAGTCCAGCCTCCTTCCACTTTCCACCACTTGACCCTCCGTGTGTACCCCACCCTTGTATTTGCCTCCGGCCTCTAGCCCTTTCTGCATTTCCAACTCTCCCAACCTTCAGTCTTTCCTTCCTTCTCTCCCCTCAACCCAGATGTCCTCCCCAAGGCTTTTATGTCCTGGTGTTCAAACCCTTGCCTAGCCAATGCCCAAACCTCACCTGGCATTTCTCTAGGAATTTACTGAGGTGGGAGAATGGAAAGGGGGCAGC